AACTCGATGGAACGTTTCTTTGTGAATTTGAATAAATTATGCTTTTGAAAAATTTTCGTTTGTTGTTATTTCGGAACTAACTAAGCGGTTTATTGTCCCAGTTGCCACGAACTTTTTTACACTTAAGATCTTATAACCGTGTATCATTATTCTTATAATTATCGTCCATTAATTTATTTCTTCCTAGCGCCAGCAGTTCAATTAATTAATAATGTATGAATATCGAGCAACCAGGAATTAATTCAAGGAAAGTAAGTATAATTGCTAAATAGCAGGTCGTGTCTAACAAGTTACCTACTTAAAACATTTTCTATCTTCATAAATTATTCAAAAGCTCTCGCGACCTTTCTTATACAAGTTTGCATAGGAGAAGGGTCGTTCAGGATCCTTTCCTATCGATTGGTGTAATTTGCCAATTGTTAGTTAGTTCATTCAACTTATCTAGGTTATTCACTCGTATGACTGTCTATTTGATCGAGAATTACTAGATCTTTAAGGTGTTAAAATAAATGTCACAATAATTAACTTACTCCGGAATTGAAACCTAAACCCATTACTCAACAGTTACCAGCTCATAGGCTACTATCTCGACCATTTTCTAGGTATCTAAATAAACACACACACAGTAACAAATACTGTTAACGTATTTAGTTTTCAATTTTCTATTCAATTACCCCTAAATTGAGGACTATTCACAAACAAACCCCTTGTGAATAATATAATAAAAAGAAGAATTGTCCTCAAAGAGAAGTTTCATCAAAGCCTACTATGAAATTCATGGAGTTTCTACACCCCTGGAGATTTGATAACGTCACAGGTCACTCACACATTGTCTATTAGATTATTATGTTGCCAAAATAGTATACATAAGCTGAGATACTCAAACGCCACTCAATTTAAAGTCACGCTTAAGTATAGTGCTGTCTCTACACTTTTTTGTAAAATGACAGAGATGGCACGACATTTAAGCACTACTTAAAATTGAGTAGCCTTTCAGTATTCGGGCGATAGATTCAATTTTACGCAAAGTACTGTGGCTGGACGACTGGCAGCTACGCAACGTAGATACATACCGTGGAACTGATTCCATTATATTTAAAAAAATGCTTGTACAGATTTACGTATGTATTTAGTCTTAAGTACCATGAGAGTTTGCAATGATTTAGACCCGCAGGCAAAATTATGTAGGATTATATTCATGGTGGTATGTCGTGGTAGCCCGGAGGTTAAGACGCTCGCTTCTCATGCATGAGGGTTCGGGTTCGAAACCTACCAACGGCAAGTATCAATGTGACTTTTTCCGAGTTATATGTACTTTCTAAGATTATTTAGACACCACTGACAAACGGTGAAGGAAAACATCGTGAGGAAACCTGGACTGATAATTTCTAATAAATTCTTAGTTTGAAATCGCGAACCCGCAATGAGCAAGCGTGGTGATTAATGCTCAAACCTTCGCCGTGTGAGAAGAGGCTTTGCTCAGCAGTGGGCACTTATGGGCTGTTGATGAAAAATGATGAATATTCGGTGTGGAATTGCGTAGGAGACGCAGAGAGAAAGGATTAACAGGTAGGTCCATAGTTAGTATTTAGTTAACATAATAATTTAACTTTAATTTCAGATGGATGTAGGCAAGTACAACAAACCCTTCAGCACAATAGAAGGTAACATTCCCACAAACAAATATTTGTTTTATAATTCCGACCAGGTATTATGTGTAATTAGGTCAAAACAGCTGTATTTTGCGTTCTCCCTTGGGGTAAGCAGACCTCCAACTATTCGTACGGTTCAGGTGGCCGGCGTAATAAATTCTAACTTTGTTGAAAATAAATACTTTGCCCGCTTGAAGGCTACGTACACAAGGTTATTAATTTTCATGAATTTCAACCAAAATACGCGTGAATTTGTTATGAATAACGTGTGAAACAAGGTTCGTGAATATGTGAATGCATTTAGTACAATACTCATTTATATCTCTTATTTGTAAAATAATACTAAGTATTTATATTTACTTTCTCATTAAGTGTAAACAATGAGTAACATAACATAGCATCACGCCTTTTATCCCCGAAAGGGTAGGCATATTACCTGCAGCACTTCATGTCACTGTACAATGTAACACCCACTTTTCGCTATTCATGTTATTAGTTCCATGTAATAGGGGGTGAGCCTATTGCCATATACCGGGTACAACTCCAGACTTCGTGCTACAACTTTTACAAAACCTAGTAATACTTCGCCCAACTCGGGATTGAACCCGAGACCCTTTGCCTGGCAGTCGTACTTGCCACCAGGCCAACGAGGTAGTCCAGTGAGTAAACAATGATTATTATACGTATATCGATTATAATGCTACACAAGTGCCTTTCTTGTGATCAAAACTTGTTAGGTTTTATAGCGTGTCAGTTTTCCTCTAACTAAGTAGTTATAATTAACAATTTCTTAAAATTAAACATTATAGTTGCAAAGAATTTTCAACTTTTATAGTATTAAGGACAACCAGAGTAAGCTATCATACGAATATACTGTAAACCTTCTACATTTACAGGTACAAAGACACTTTATTTCAGAAAATACTTTGCTAACATTGTATTCCAAATACATATACGTATTTTTACCTCGATCAAGAGTGACTACATTTATAAGAAAAACAAATAAACCCGTTCAGTACCGCACTGTTTTTCCTAACTGTATTCAGACTTTGATAAAACTTTCAGACTTGTTCATAGTTGTCCATATTTTACTTAGTAACGTATTGAAGAAGTTTTTTGATCTAACTGCATGAATTATTGTGATGCTGTACTTTTGCTAAAATACCTAGGTAGCTTGTGTTTTGTTTCAGGTATATACAATGTATGTACAAATCTTTATTTTTTATCTACACTTTCCATATAATGTTTTTGAATGTCAAAATGACCTCATTTTGACATTCAACAACATGATGACCTGTGTTATTCGAAGAAGGTAGAAGAAGAAAGAAAAGTTATTATTATCAGCACGTGTTTTGCTGGTTATTATATTTTACGGCGTACTCACGAAATTATTTAAGAATCGAGAAAAATTACGAGGTTCAAGCCATGTTCATAGGTTGTAAAGGCTGTGAAGGCTCATATGAGCAGCATTCCGCGACATAATTACGTGAGTAAGCTGAAAAACATAATAATTAATTTAGTATGTGTCACTTGCTTTGTCTATCTATAACCATAACTATACTTAGTTTTTTCATGGCATAAGGCGGTAAACGAGCAGACGGATCGCCAGACACCTGGAACACCAGAGGCGTTACAAGTGCGTTACCGGCCTTTTGGGGATTAGGAGTTTGAGGATAGTTGGGGATTGGGGAGATTGGGGAGGGGGGGGGGGCTCACTTACACGACAAAACACAACGCAAGCGTTGTTTCACGTCGGTCTTCTGTGAGGCCGTGGTATCACTCCGGTCGAGCCGGCCCATTCGTGCCGAAGCATGGCTCTCCCACACTTAAAATTGCTACACATCAAAAACAAACCCAGGCACAATTTTATCACAAACATTTTTACTAAAGTACCTACAACTGTATTTCGTAAAAGAAAAAGTAACTTTTAATAATATCCACAAAATAAATCAGTAAGCGTGACGCAACGAGGTGAAAACCCGAGAAAAGCTGGCATTAGGATTAAACCAGTCAAGATAGTCAACATTTTACAAAGTAAATACCTTTTCATGTACCTGCTTAAGGTAAGCCTAAAACATAATGAATTCAACGGGAAAATTTGAAACAAATTAATTTCCTTATTGCTGCTACCTTTACTTGGTAAAGGATTAATTTTCTTCGCATAATTTCTTGTAGCTTTATGTCGGGGTATTCTAGAGGTAACGGTATGTTTTATGTTGAATTGTATAGCGGATCCAGTTTCATAAATCATTCATACCCTCGTCCCTTCGAGTGTACAAATTTCTTATGAAGTGCGACGTTTTAATCTCGGTACAAAATGTGTAGGGATTTTCTTGCTGTGTCAAAATTTTTTTTACACTTTCCACGGCTACGCAATATAAGTTTAAAACGCCTCCTGAACCTAATTAGTGCAATAATAATCTCCTTTGTCTGATATTAAAGCTTGATATGACTATTGAATATATTTTATTATTGGAAATTCTCTTTGCTGTGTCAATTTTATCCATTCACATAATACCTATACATAGTTTTGAGAACTACAAATTTTCTCTACACGTAGCAACGAAACTTTATAAGAAACATTCCAAATAAAATCTTCGTATTTTCAGGCGATATTAAAGTACGAATCTACAAATTCAACTGAAAAATATTTTTCCAAAAAACCAGTACAATATACACAAATTGCGTCGTCAAAGTATCGGAATACGAATTGAATTCGATATTTCTCGTTTCTCGCTTCACTCAAAATATATGTATGTACCTAAGTGCTATATAATAATATTCTTTGGGAACTTCAACCGGCTCACGGCTGTGGCAAATCGATACGTTTATCGAAAAACTCAGATATCAATCTATATGTTTGTCACGCTTCATTTCCGAATTACTTTTTGAAAAGAGTTTCGTGGCTTAAGTAGGTACCTGCTGTTCAATAAATACGGAGAAAATCATAACGCTCGACTTATTAACGAACGAGTACTTTTTGGGGCATTCACGAAGTAAATATTTAATAATAGAGATGATAACTACTTGATGTTTCCTTTGTCTGTGATCTTCCTTGATGGGCGATCAAAATTTAACAGCTATAGAATGTATCTAAATGTTAAAACTGCTTTACTATTTTATAATTTCAACATAAAAAGACTCGGATTTAGCTTTAATAAATTGTTACTTAAATTATTGCTTCCACAAACCTATAATTTTCTTTTCATTATTTTCATAAAAATTTAACATCAATATGTATCCGTACAAATGAGAAAAAAATATGACTTAATTTAAGCATTCAACCCTGAAATCAATATCAACAGACGATCATATAAATACTTTGTTACTATAAAGAATTGTACTCACTGGTGGTCTACAGTTAGTGCTCGGCGGGGTGGGGCGACCAACGCCACAGGCCAAGCCGCCTGCACTAATGACTCTCTCACGAACTGCTCCCACGAAGGTGAAGTTCCTGCGACAAAGTTGATTAGTTACTAAAGAGTTTTATTAATAATAAAAAGTCTTGATATAAAAGTTGGTGTCCAACCTCTGTAGTCGAAAAGTGCAAGCGTAGCTTAAACCAACGACATTAAAAAAGGTGCACACAATGTCTTGAAACATCAATTGTGGCACCCAGTTACTAGTTGACTTACACGCTGAACATACACACATCTGTCATTTTTTACACACGCACACATAAATAACCCAATTATTTTTTGGTGGTTCCATCATTTCTAATTGTCATTATGTGCACCTTTTATTCAACGTCCTTAGCTTGAAGTAACCTGTTTAAAATTAGAATCAGATTTAAAAAGTACATGCGGATTACCTAAAGTCATAGTTAAGGGTGTCCTCTCACATCACAATGTTTAATTATCTTTATAGACCTTTTTACGAAATACATATACCTAAAACAAAGCATGAAATTATGAATATACGTAAGTAGATATTACAAGAAATTTGTCTTCAACTCCAGGCAAAATTAGCTATCCTCCTTTCCATGAAACTCTTCTAGCAATTACCTACCAAAAGTTGTACACAAAGTACAAGAAACCACACAAATTAAGTATTACGCTCTGGAATATTTTGACTACCTCTTTGGTTGAATGTAAATAATGCAATAACCACATACCTACATATAAAATTCGAGTACTTAGTAATTACTGAGAACATAGAATGAATCAAATATTATGCAAGATCTCTTTAACAACCAGCATCTGTTCACCACTCGCATCCTTCTAGATTAATAAAATGTATTAGAATTAGATAAAATAGTTATTAAAAAAAATCCATTCCATTTACCTACGTATCCCCTCTATTTATCCAGTCCACAAAAATCCAACCTGTTAAAACAAAAGCTACAAATGAAAAAACTGTGAACCATTAAATACCAAAACTACAAAAAACAAATCTGTATAAATCTCTCTATTCTCTATGTTCGATATTCAAAACTATTTGACTACCGCATAGTGGGACGAACATAATCCTTGACCCGGTGCTACACGACACGTATTCAGGAACCGTTCAGCCAATTTCACAATTAATTGAGTTTTCGGCTTTGAAAACGGCTGGACTCAAAGGATTGCCTTCCTCCTGATGTACTAGACTTAAACTAGATTAAGAGAAATATTTTTTACGTCCAAATACTGAAAGGTTGCTCATTTTAATTTTTACTTAAATATTGTGCCATCTCTATCATTTTACATTGTAGTGACAGAACTATACTTAAGCGCAACTTGAAATTGAGTAGCCTTTCAGTATCCGGGCGTTAGACTGTCACAGTCTTGTTTAGATCAAATGTTAAATTTTAGACTTTTGAAGGACAGTGTCCACATCTCATGGAAGATGATGTTTTGTAAGTGAGACGGGATATACAATCACAAAAAAACATCGAAACGATTAAGTTCGACGTATTCCAGGGACAGAAATATGCTTAAAAATATACTTTACTCTACGTTTCCTTCGCAGAATAATGATTATGTAGTTAAAACCTAACTTACGCTCTATGGGCTTCAAATTACTACTCATAATCTAATACTAAGCCTTTTGTAAGGAAATAGGAGCCGATTTTGAAAACAATAGCTGTTCAATTAAGTTCACTCATCTATTGCCATTTTATTGTTTATGTTCATTAGGTTCGTTCGGGCCAGTGAACGGAACGAAGAGTATTAATCGTTCACGCCTCCTCTACCTCGTACATTCTCATTTCGTTCATTTATAAAATATCACGGTTCGTGTTCTGTGGCGCACGTGCGATATATTTTCGCGGGCTTTTGTTTGTTGCCAACGGTTTAGTATTTAATGCTACAAAAGATTTGTGCACTATCGTAAAATTTATTGCGAAAATGTTTATGTGGGAATATTTTCCATTGTTACGAATATTACCGGAAAATAGAAGTGGTGTTGATGATAAATGATAATTATATAAAATAGATGATATATGATTATAATTTATTACTGCCAGTCTATATTTTTGGTGTGGTTGTCAAAATAAGTACTTCGATTCATTCAAACATATAGCTAAAATATTCTACTGCTTCGAAAGTCATTTTCGATTAGAATCAATGACAAAGTTAGTTTTATAAAAATGTAGGCACCTAATCGACAATTGTATTCCATTCGCTCGTTTAAAACCGATATGTAAATGAAATAAAAACAGACTGTGTCGCCACGTTTTCACAACACCCTATTATTTTCAATGTCTGCAAAAAACAATTCCGAATCGAAACGACCTTTTGTAAAAACCTTTTTAATTATAACTTTGTGCACAACAACACGTAGCAAAACAGTTTCTAGTCAGCAATTGAATTGGAAACAAAATAAAAGCTTTAAAATACAAATGGCAGTAACACTTCAATTATTGTTAGTTTAGGTCGAGACTCGAGTCACCTACAGTAACATTACAATGGTTATTTAGGTTTGTTGGCTCGCATCAAAGGGCACAATAAAGATTCCCTTATCAAAACAAAACAACAAAGTGTGCAAAGCTTAAATATTGGAACTGGCTAAGAGCTGAACTAGCCAATCAGTGCCGGTCATTAAACAATTCTCTGTCGATAATGGCTTGGGATATTGTATGTGTGTGCACAGGAACAACAAGCTGTGTGAACATAGATACAGCTTAAAGTAAAGTCATATCGTATTGTTTATGATCCTGAAAGTACGATTTACTACACAGAAATACTATTTTTTTAAATGTTACTAACAACTAAAAATTGTTGAAAACTGATCTATAATAGCCAAGGGCAAAGTAAACTATATGTAACTATGTGTAACAATCATGATCCAAAAATCATGACATGACTTTTGCACTCTTTTCTTCATTGCATCTGTTATGTGAATATAGAATTTAGTTTGCACTACGTAGTTCGATTGTTTAAAAATATGGAATCAGAATACGCACTGCAATAACTCGTGGCGATGCATTTTTTTCAACAACTCGTGCTATTCCTTGGTTATTCAAATATTTTGCTACATTTTTTTATGTACAAAATGTTACCTGATGACTTTCAGTTTTGATTTCACCGTATTTAGTATAAGATTTTTATTTAAATTTTTATGCGTTTCGCGAAAAGGACAGATAACAAAATACATACCCTAAAAACGTTTAAAATCAATTACTCTTTTCCCTACATTCAAAAATATACCTAAACCTCTACTAAGGACCGTTCCTCTGATAAAATTTAATGAAAAATCAGTCCTAAGTTGATAGAAAAGAGATGAAATTACACTTATTCAGTAAACAATTATTCAGCAATAACTTTTCACGATGTATGTAATCGACTAAGGAGATTGACCCAAAGAGTAATAATGTATTGATCACACAAAATAAGAATGATGTGACATCACTTAATGAAAATATCTTTTTAATATTTGGTCGCTCCGGTAAACCAACCATAAAAGATTTTCGATCCAGAAAAGAGTCCCACAATAGCTTTCAGGTGAAGGTCAGTGGACACCAGTCACCTATGTTTTGTCAAGATAAAATTTCAATAGAAAACGCCTGAATTCAAAGGTGAATGATTATTCTCCTTTAAAGATGACGGACCAACGGAAAAAATATAGATGAATTTTACCTTTAACAATGCTTTTTTATATAAAAAATGCTTTATAGCTTTCCCTATTGACTGATATTGCAAATTTTATAAATGTGTAAAAAGTAATTAATTTAAATAATACTATACTGTGTGACAGTGGTGCTGAAGTTTATGTCCAAGAATATTTTATTAACCATGGAAACTATGTGTGTCAAAACAAAAAATATCCTTTATTAATGTGCTACTAAGGTTCACATTAACCAGAAATAAAAATTGCACTTTATTTTTAAGAGAATAAAATTAAAAATAATTGCCAAATTAATTCAGATGAACGCTTATTTATAAAGCGGTCACAGGTCCAAAACAAAGTTTGAAGGTAACGCTACTTTACGTTTCAAACACACGAAAACTTTGTTAATTATAATTAATAACAATTTGTGAAGTAACTCGCACCAAAAACGTTTGAATTTAAATAACAAAATTGAACTTTTACTAGGGAAATTGGCTCGTTAGTCAATAACTATTATGTTTTGTACTATTAACATTAAAGAAGCTGTGAATAGTACAACATGTAAAGGTAGTACTAGAGGCTATAGCCTATCTAGAACAAAAAAAATAATGACAAAATATCTTAGTATGAAATACTTTTGCTCATTAGTCTCCACGCCTATTTAGGCGAACTTCACTATATTTTATTATCTTTATAATGAAGTCATAGTCGTCATTCAATATGAAATGGTTAATTCAGTTTTGGTTTTTCGAATCTATTCTAAGATACACGCACACACATATTCATACACAGTTAATACTTACATACATGCATGCAAATATATATTATTTATAATTTTGTAGCATAATGTTTTTGTGCTGTTTGTTAAGGAGTCTGGACCCAACGACACAAGGGATACTACTGTGAAGTCAAAGACACAAGAAAATTGTAAACTTTTCTGAAATAAACATTATTTTTATTATAATTTATTAACAAAGTTAACATTACGCAAATGCATGTTAACTTTTGCCCACAACTTTGTAAAACAACTTTCGATTTTGTCTATTTGTCTTCACTATTGTTATAGGGGCTATAATGTATTCAACCAGTATTATGAAAGTTGCGGTTGAGGTCAAATCGACTGAGATATTCTTGTCTCACTCCAGATAAATGACTCCAGTTTCAAAACTCAAGATCTCAAAGGAATATTGTTTGCCTATAGAATGGAGAAAAAACGTCTGTAAGTAGATATTAAATCCTCTGATTACGGAGTCTTATCGCGTCCTGTCGCAACGAGAACGCGCGGAAGTTATTCAAGAAATTCCTCTAACAAATTGCGTATGCGTGGCGGAATAAGACGTAGCTATGCGTTTGTACAACGCGACATTTCAATTAAATTGAATGTTGGGTCGAGACAACTATTTCATGTGTGGTAAGTTTATCTAA